GTCCAAGGAAACGTCCAAGGAAAGAAACACTTACATGCACATGTACACCCCTCCGCCTCGGCACCTTGAATCCGCCTGAGACGTCTAGCCGCATCCATACATTCCACACGCCATGCCTTCCACCAGACGGACCCATCCCAGCGTGCTGTCAAGACGGCACGCACTGACGAAGCACTGACGAAGGATTCACATCCACGCTCCCATCCTCCCCCCACCTCTCTCTCTCTCTCTCTCTCTCTCTCTCTCTCTCTCTCTCTCGCCATCACCAACCGCCAGGAATCCTTCGGCCCTTCTCGCCCAGCGGTCCCCGGATCGTCATCGCTTATCTCGGCAGCCCTGCTGATCAGCTCTTCTTCTTTCTGCCTCCTGATGACTACTCCCTGTCACTGTTTCATGGCAGCAAAATCCAAACATGCTGTTACTACGGTAGTCGTGAATCATACAAGTGCATCGCTGCGACTACATGCGCCGAGTTGTACAAAACATGACGAGATCCAGTCCTTCTGCTCCTCCTCGTGCCCCTCCTCTCCTTTTGCCATGCCATCACAACTCACATGAGGCTGCACGTCCCGTACTGCTGCCTGCACTGGTCCAGATACCCCTGCTCCTCGTCTGTGCCCTCGTTCGGCAGGTTGTGCCTCCGTACCAGCCCGTTGAGCCGCAGCGTCTGCTCGCCGTCGCCGTGCCACCACTTGAGCCTCTGTAGCTGCGGCGCCGACGGCTCCTCCGCGTCCGCGTCCTCGCTGAGCTCCCACTTGCCCGACGACACCGTCACCTGGCAGTTGTCCTTGGGGAAGTGGTGCTCCGGCACAAACACAATCGTTGGCGCGTCGTCTGATGGCGGGAAGTCGGACCTGATGCGGAGCTTGTACTCTTGCGTTGCGCAGGTCGAATCCTGCCTCCAACACCTTGCCCCCGACGACAACAGCCGTCGGTCGGACGTACGCCTCGGCCGCCCGGAAACCCCGGTGCGTTCGAGATCTCCGGGTCCTTGCCCGAAGGCGCCGAGGAGATTGAAGGGCTGCGCATGCTCGACTCGAGGTTGCCCGGCGTGACCACGAAATCGTTCGGCAGGTTGCGTGCGCCGTCGCCCGTCATGAGATCCTTGACCGAATTCTCGTTGGGGTCAAGGTGCGGCGGCAGCGGTGACGTTGGCAAAAGCTTGTCGTCGTGGGAGAAGATGGAAAGATCCTCGCCGTTCCACTGGTCGCCGTATTCGTGCGTGTTCTACTCTGCGTTTTAGCCAGGTGCGCGACGCGCGAGGTGCTCCATCGCCAACATACCGACACTGTGTAAAGCCAAAGACAGTGGCCTTCCATGCCCGAACCCTCGACGCCGAAATAGTTGGCGTCCATTGCTGCAGACTGGCTCGTGTAGTCGCCCGTCTTGTACGCGTAGTGGTCGTCCATGTCGTAGGGAATGCCAAACTCCGTCATGATGCACGGGTGGTTGCCTAGGTGCTCCTTGCCCTCCTTGTACAAGTAATTGTGCTGGTCCCTGAAGCAGTTGCGGATCGCCGTCTCGCCCACCTTGACTGCCAGCGCCGGTGTCCAGTACCGTCCCCGCAACACGCCCACCACGTCAACATTCCAGAGCTTGTTCCACTTCTTCGTCATGAGCGTAATGCCGTCGTACCAGTGCGGCGCAAAAGCCATATTCGGGTCATCGTCTTCGGTGCCCTTGATCTTGGGCGGCAGCTCGAGGGTCGGGTACTGCATGATCATGATGCAGTCGGTGTGGATCGCTCGGATGGCGTCTCTGTACCGTCGGTATCCGTCCATAAAGTGCGTCTGCGTCCAGTTCGGGAACGTGTATTCGAGTCCCGTCCTGGGGTTCTTCTTGAAATAGTCCTTCTTAAGGAGCGTGTCCGTCTTGGGATCCCACACGCCGAGCTGCGCCCACAGACACTCGCCCATCTTCCACTTTTCGTCGCGCTTCCACCCATACCGCGAGTCGTCATAGTCGGCGGGCAGCCACGCAATCTCGCCGTGCGGGTCGACGAGCGTGCTG